GTATGGATAAACTTGGTTACTTTAATTCAATATTTGGCAATTCATTTGAAGATCACTTTCTAAAAATTAATCCACATCATTTAAATGTGTAGAAATTGGAAGCCAACATTTTTGAACTTATTGTGCTCATTCATCAAAAGTTGGAAAATGAACAATCTATACAGTGAGTTGAATTAATGATGTGAATATTTGAGACAAACAATAACTGTTCTCAAGTGTTCAGATCAAAATAAAATCTTTGGATTGAAAATTTCTATATTATAAAATTTAGAACCAAGACAAAAATATCTTTCTTTGATGTCCATTCTATACCTAATTGATGTATTAGGGCGAAATAAATAAAATACTTGGTTTTGTTGTTGACATTTTAAATGATGTAAATCAATTTCAATGCAATGGAATTATGAAAATCAATGTCTTGACATGGAAGTCCATTAGCCCCGATACTTAATAAAACTACCATTATCCACCTGCAATTAATCTAATTAGAATCACTCTGTAACCTTTGAAGGACTTGGTGATCGAAATCAAAGAAGAAGAAAGAACAGATTTTGAGGGGTTCCGGTAATGGGTAAGTGGGTTTTCTTTTGATTTTCGTTGTCTTTTCTCAAAGAGAATGGTCCTCCTTATATAGGGGCTTAACCCATCATCTCTACCCCTCAGATCCGCCCCAATGAGAGATTTTCTCTCAACCACCCATGATTCACGTTCTCCACCATTCTCTCAACAGAGAAACAGTGGTTGATTTAGTCATCAATGACCAAGTCAAGCTAACATCTCCCACTTGACCAAATTAACCAAGTGACATGCCTCCCACTAACCGTGAGATCGGATGTTTCTGCTTACCATTACTCTCACTATCCGTAGAGAATAACTCTTATTTCATTATTCATGAAATGTTACTTGGACTTATTTATTCCTAAGTCCCATCAAACTTACATGTTTGATAAAAGATTTCGCTGGTATTCCTTTTGTCAAAGGATCAGCAATCATATTTGTAGTAGGGATATAAGTCACTTTGACTTCTCCTTTTTATACAATATCTCGAATATAGTGATACTAGATCTCAATATGTTTTCCTTTGGAGCTATTCGCACCACTATTGATTAAACTAATTGCTGCTTGATTATCACAATAAATATCAATAGGTCCTTCTAACAAATTAAGATCAAGATCAATCAAAAACCGTCTTATCCAGACAGCATGTGTAGTTGTCATACTGCAAGCTATATATTCAGCGTCTTACGTATATCTAGCAACACACCCTTGTTTCTTGCTACTCCAAGAAACTGCTTCTCTTCCAAAGATGAATAAGTATCCCGAAGTGGACTTTTCATCATCTTTATCACCTCCAAAATCAGCATTAGAATAACCGAGGAGTTCAAGCGAATCAGCTTAATAAACTAATCTATGAGTCAATGTACCTCTGATATATTTCATAATCCTTTTAACAGCTTCCCAATGTGCTGGTCCTGGATTACTTTGATATCTACTGACTATACTCACAGCATAAGCTATATCAGGTCTGGTGCACAACATTGCATACATCAAGCTTCCAATTGCTTGAGCATAAGGAACATCTAATGGCTTCTGTCCCTCTCCAGGGCTTTGTTCTTTACATAATCTCTTTCTCATAACCAACGGAGTTGGTGTCGGATTAGAATTTTCCATTCTAAACCTTTTAAGAACTGATCTTAAATATTTTTCTTGGTTTAAACTTAGCATTCTAGACTTTCTATCTCGAATTATTTGAATTCCAAGAATATATGATGCATCTTTCATGTCTTTTATCTCAAACTTTTCGCTGAGATCTGCCTTGATTTTATTCAACATTTCTATATCATTTTCAGCGAGCAATATATCATCCACATATAAGGATAATATAGTAAACTTGCTCTCACTTTTCAAGACATATACACAATTATCTAATTTATTTTGAATAAAACCAAGTTTAGTAATTGCATCATGAAATTTGAGATACCATTGTCTAGAAGACTGTTTTAAACCATATAGAGATTTCATTAATTTGTAAATTTTATGTTCCTGTTCTTTCACCTGAAAACCTTCAGGTTGTTGCATATATATTGCTTCCTTCAACTCTCTGTTAAGGAATGCAGTTTTAACATCCATTGGGAATAACTCCAAATCAAACTATGTAACAATAGTCAAAATAATTCTAATGGATATAAATTTAGCTACAGGAGAATACGTCTCCTAAAAATCTATTTCTGCCTTCTGGTTATAACCTTTGGCAACTAACCGTGCTTTGAATTTATCAATAGATCCATCAATACGATATTTCTTTTTGAGCACCCATTTGCATCCTATGGCTTTTTTATTTTCTAGTAGATCACATAACTCCTATACCCTATTCTTTTCTATGGAATCAAGTTCTTCTCTCATAGATTCTAGCCATGAAGCTGATTCATACGATTTCATCGCATCAGAAAAGGTTAAGGGATCTTGTTCTTCTATATTTGTATCTACCGAGAAACATGATGACTCACATGAATACAAATAGTAATCATCCATCCATGAAGGTTGTGTTCTTGGCCTTTTGTTGCCTACAACCGGTTGATTAGGCACATTGTTTTTCATAAGTATTTCATCATTTTCAAGGTTAGGTTCATTCACAATATCAGGGTCATTAGTGAGAACACTGTAATAATCATCATCTATTACAGTTAGAGGTTTTGTTTCCTCTCAAACTTGTTCATCTTCCTCTAGATTCTCTAGAAATGTAGCATCTCTGCTTTCAATGACTCCTTTTTCTTTATTGTAGAACTTATAACCTTTTGACTTTTCTGAATATCCTATGAATCTATACTTTATTGTTTTAAAATTCAACTTATCTCTAAGTTGACATGGAATAGGAACATGGGCTACAGATTCCCACTTCCTGAGATGACTCAAATTAGGTTTCCTCACATTCCATAATTCATAAGGTGTAGATACAACTGATTTGGTGGGAATTCTATTTAAAATGTAGTTTACAGTTAACAATGCTTCTTCCCAAAAGTTTTTAGAGAGATCAGAATTAGACAACATGTATCTAACTACATTAAGTAATATTCTGTTTTTTCTTTCAGCAACATCATTCTGTTGTGGCGTATACGGCATTGTTATATGCCTTTTAATTCCATGCTGAATACAATAACTCTCAAGTTCTTTAGAGTTATATTCCCCACCTCTATCAGTTCTTAAAATTTTGATTTTCAATCCAAGTTGGTTTTCAACTTCTATCTTATATCTCTTAAAGCAGTCAAAGGCTTCTAATTTTCTGGATATAAGATAGACATGTGCAAACTTGGAATAATCATCTATAAAAGTAATAAAATATTTTTTATTACTATGAGTTTTGATACTTAAGGGACCACAAATATCCGAGTGTATCAACCCTAAAAATTCATTGGCTCTCTATCCGCTAATAAAAGGTTTTTTAGTCATTTTACCAGTTAAACAATGTTCACATGGTGACAATTGAACATTAGATAGTGCATGAAGCAAGTTTATTCTGATAATTTCTTTCATTTTTGAAATACTAGCATGTCCTAATCTAGAATGCCATAATTCAGACTCAGAAATATAACAGGACAAGTAGCTCAAATTCAAAATTTTATTATCAGAATTATTACAAACTACTGGAAGAATACATAATTCATGCTCGGGCACATATTTTCCCATAGCATACACTTTATTACTCTTACCTATAGAAACCATGTTATTATAGCGCCTCACTTCTAGTCTTTTCTTCATCAAGTTGGGAACAGAGATCAGATTGCGTCGAATTCCTGGCGCATAGAACACATCTTTAAGGACAAGAATGCTATCCCCAAGATCCAATCTATACGAACCAATACCATCTACATCGAGATAGGTATTATTTCTCATATAGATTCTCTGTTCTTCTTTCTTTAGCTCGGTAAATTCTACGACTCCACTCTTATCCTTTGCGATATGCCTTGTCACACAGGAGTCGATCCACCAACCACTGATATCCGTCATCACAGCATTACATTCTGCCACATCGACGAATTCTCTTTTGCCCCCTTGTTCTGGATGCTTATAGCCTCTCTTATTCTCTTGCTTTTCACTTTGTGGGTAATTGGGCTTGAAATACCCGAATTTTTCATAATTGTAGCAGGCTCCGCGGGGTACTTTTTTCTCTTGAACTCGATTTCGATCCTCGTGGTTGTGGTTTACTAGGACCAGGGTTTTTATAGCTTTCAGTATTATACCTCTGACGGACATAATTCAGCTCCTGCTGCATCATATTCAGTTCTGGTTCCTTCCTACTGGCTATTAAGTCTTGTTCTATCGCTAGGTGCATAGAAAGATCAGTGACAGACTTAATGACAAGATTCATTCTTAATGTGGTGGCAATCACAGCAAGTGAAGGGGGAAGACTGTTCAAAATGATTGTCACTTGCATTCTTTCCGGGATTTCGGTCCCAGCAGTGGATAAGTCCTTAGCCATAACAATTATTTTATTTATATGTTCTACGACATTGTCTCCCTCTTACATACAACAAGAATTATACTTATGCAAAAGGAGTTGGATGTTAACTTCAGAAGTAGTGTCGTATTTTTCTTTTATTGTATTCCACATGTCCATGGAAGTCTTATAAGTTTTAAAAACTTTGATTAAATTATCTTCCATGAACATGAGCATAAAGCTTTTCGCCTTTTTGTCTTTCGACTTTCACTGCTCAAACCCTTTCTTTTCTTCAGGTGTTGATTTATCAGTAAGGGTTGGAGCAGTGGTTTCGATTACATCATCAATGTTGTCATGAATAAGAGCATATCCTATTTTTCTATGTCACATATCATAATTACTACCATTAAATTTGTTAATTTTTCCTAGTTCTGATAGAACGAGTTTACTAGCCATTCGGTAAAGAACTAAAACTAAATTCAATTTAAATATGTATAAGATTGATATATTGACAATTATACTATAATATAATAAAGTTAGACAAAAATAAATAAATAAAATGAACCTGATTCTTGAGAGTTGAGAAATGAAGCTCCAATTTGAGCGAGATTGTCACTCAGCGGTGTTGATTGGATCAGCACTTGTCGAAATTGGTTTAGTCTGAATTGTGGAGATGATCTGTTGTGTGAAACCAGCTTTGTGCGCTGCCCTCCACCTGGATAGGTGAAACAGACCTCAACAATGGTCACCCGGACCAAACAAAAAAAAATAAAAAGCCCAACGTTCCACTCTTGACAGAGCCTTAGTCCTTCCTTCTATTTCCTCTTCTCCCCCAAAAGGCTTCTCTTGAAAACAAAAATTGAAGCTTAGTAATTGAGATCGCTTCTTGATGCAGCGAAGGAACCGAGATCGATGGGATTACTACTTCCTCTCCGTTCGAATTCGTCGTCGACGCGATGCTCTTCGATTTCTCTCATTTCCGTCTTCGTCTCCGATCGAAGCAGTAGAGTCGGCGATCGATCAAAGCAGCACCTGTG